ATCTAAATGCAAGAGATAATGTCTTAGAAGAAAACATAGAGCAAATCTTTGTGAATTTGGGTTTCTTAGATAAGACACCAAAAGTAAGCAATAGACAACATAGATGGACTTCATCAAATTTAAAAACTTTTGTGCATCAAAGGAGACCATAAAGAAAGTAAAAAGATAACCCCCAGAATCAGAGAAAATGTTTGCAAATTACATATCTGATAAGGGACTTGTATCAAGAATATATAGGAATTCTTATAATTCAATAACACGAAGACCAAAAAACCTAATTAAAAGATGAGCTAAAGATTTGAATGGACACTTCTCCAAAGAAAATAAACAAATATTTCATAAGCACATGAAAAGACACTCAATATCATTAGGAAAATGTAAATCAAACCATAATATTATACCATTTCATACCCATTAGATTGCTAAGGTCAAAAAGACAAGGAAGAGATGTTTTGGTGAGGATAAAGAACGCTTATACCTTGCTGGTGAAATTGAAAACTGGTACTGCCAATTTGGAAGGCAGTTTGGCAGTTCCTCAAAATGTTAAATATAGGCTGGACACGGTGGATCACGCCTGTAATCCTACCACTCTGGGAGGCCGAGGAGGGTGGATTGCTTGAGTTCACAGGTTTGAGATCAGCCTGAGCAAGAGCGAGACCCCCGTCTCTAAAAAAAGTAGCTGGGTGTTGTGGCAGGCACCTGTAGTCCCAGTTACTTGGGAGTCTGAGGCAAGAGAATTGCTTGAGCCCAGGAGTTAGAGGTTGGTGTGAGCTATGAAGCCACAGTACTCTACCAAGGGTGACAGAGTGAGACTCCGTCTCAAAAAATAATAATAATAATAAAGTTAAATATAGACTTCCCATGTAACTCAGCAATTCAACTCCTAGGTATCTACTCAAGAAATGAAAACATATGCCCACACGAAATTGGCACATCAATGTTTACAGAAGCATTATTTATTCATAATTAGCAAAAGGTAGAAAGAACCAAAATGTCTGTCAATTAATGAATGAACAAAGTATGGTATAGCCATACAAAGGAATATTATTCAACAATAAAAAGGAGTAAAGTAATGATACACACTACAACATGAATGACCTTGCAAACATGCTAAGTGAATGAAGTCAGGATACAAAACGCCACATATTGTATGATTCCACTTATATGAAATGTCTAGAATGTATAAATGCATAGAAACAGGATTTCTTTTTCCAGGGACAAAAATTAGATTGTAGATCTCTATAAAGAGAACTATGAAACTCTAAGAAAAGAAATAGCTGAAAATGTTAACAAATGAAAAAAAATACCATGCTCATGGCTGGGAAGAATCAACATTGTTGAAATGTCCATACTACCCAAAGCAATATGTAATTTTAATGCAATCGCTATTAAAGCCTCACTGTCATACTCTAAAGATCTTGAAAAATTAATACTTTGTTTTATATGGAATCAGAAAAAGCCTCGAATAGCCAAGACATTACTCAAAAATAAAAACAAAGCAGGAGGAATCACACTACCAGACCTCAGACTATATTATAAATTCATAGTGATCAAAACAGCATGGTACTGGCACAAAAACAGAGAGGTAGATGTATGGAACAGAATAGAGAGCCAAGAGATGAACCCAGCTACTTATCTGATCTTTGACAAGCCAATTAAAAACATTGAGTGGGGGAAAGATTCCCTATTTAACAAATGGTGCTGGGCAAACTGGTTGGCAACCTGTAGAAGACTGAAACTGGCCCCATACCTTTCACCATTAACTCATTAAGATAGACTCTCACTGGATTAAAGATTTAAACTTAAGACATGAAAC